TAGACAGTAGGACGGCAGGGAAGGTGACCCTAGACAGTGGGACGGCAGGGAAGGTGACCCCCCCCTAGACAGTGGGACGGCAGGGAAGGTGACCCTAGACAGTAGGACAGTTCCCTGACTCATCAGGAACCCCTAATGACCACTTCCATAACAAAGGCTGGTCATTACACCACACCAACGGCCGGACATCGGGTCGTCGAGGTCACTGTTTAAGATTCGCTACCTAGAACAAAAAGTTCCAAGTAGCACGGGCTATGGTGAGCCCCGTAGTGGACTTGTCAAGGTCACATTAGAAGCTATTGACAGTCATCTTCAAATTCTCAAACCGACTGAATCCTATGCCTTTACTGATGGCTCTGTGCAGTTAGGCACTGGTAGAACAGGTTGGGCATATGCAGTATATAAAGGGAATGAAATGATCATGTCTAGTACACAGAGATTGAACAACTGGGCAAGCACGACACAGACCGAGCTATTGGGCATTTATCTAGCCACTGAATGCCTTAAGCTCAATGGTGGTGGAGTTATTTTCTGTGACTCTAAAAGTGCTCTGCAGTCCTTAAATAACCCATCACAATGTATGTCGGAAGTAGCTTGTAATATTAAATGGAATGTAATTTTTGCCAATGATAATAACTATTGTATAAAATTTGTGTGGATCCCATCCCATGTTGGAGTTGGAAAACATGACTTTGTAGATCAATTGGCCAATGAGGCTTGCAGGAAAGAAAACATTGACTATGACTTTGGAATATCTAATGCAATTATTAGAAACATACAAATCAAAGAAATTAATTCAGATTTAGAAGAACTAAGAAATGCCCAGAGACCTGAAAGCTGCAGTATTAAAAGTTATGACAAGTTCTGTAATAATAGGTATTTGTATGGTCAGCACAGTAACCGGACCAGGCAATGTGATGTAGTCATTGCGCGAATTCGCCTTGGCTATAGACACATCTGGCAGGTTAGTGAGGCTGAGCCACTACCAGAATAGTCAGGTTGTAAACTCTGTGATAAACCTTTAATGCATTCACTAGAACACTATATTGATGAATGTGAAACCGTAAAGGACTTTAGACCTCCTGACCTCTTGTACCACCAACTGTGTAACTATTTCCTTGACTCAGGTGTTCTGGACGACATCCTAACAATTTACCCAAAATTTGCTTGTCCATTTTAAAGAATGAAGAACAATTTTTATTTATATTACTTCTAAGCTGCATCACTTATGAACCCATCCCTGCCCTTGTGTGGCAGTGCACAATAGAAAGTTGTTTTCACATATCCATACATTAAAACATTGATTGTAACCATGATATATATGTGCTTCAGCCTACAGTTTAGACCTATTGTCTTATGTATGACCCTCTGTCCTGCGTGACAGTGAATACTAGCATTATCCTCACTTTAATAAGACTATCAAAATCCTCAGATTAGGCAAAATTGTAATTAATTTTGTCAATAAAGATGTTAATAATAATAACGTTGGTCAAACTGTCAAGAGAAACAACAGCTTGTCATCGAGGCTGTCAAATTGAAGTGTACCACATGACTTCTGAAGTCGACTTCTCATGACTTCACATGAGTTCTGAAGTCGACGCGTAAGCCGAATTTAATAGTAGGCCTATCTTTATAGGTTCATAAAGTAGGCCTATCTTTATAGGGTCCCACAGCAGGCGTGTCTTTGTGGGCTTACAGAGTAGGCCTATATTTGAGATCTCAGATTAAAATTATCGACGCTTATGAAAGGAACAAAAAAAAATATCTGAAAATGGCAAAAATTTAAACGAGTATAAATAATAATTGAAATATTTCCAGAAAGCCGGGGGAAAAGCCGATAGGAAACTATCTAGGGTAAGAAGGCAGCTACGTCGAGACGAAGATCTTCATGAAGATGGTAAAACCACCTAATACATCATTTAGGAATGGGGAAGACGATTGTAAGCTTGGACAGGCAGCCCGGCCTCTGCCCATATGCTTCCACACCCCACAAGTGACTCGAACCCAGACAGCCAGGAGCACTATGCAACTGGCGTACCAGGTACCTTAACCACTCGACCAACCGTGACCGTACAAAAGATGTTGGTAGCCGAGGCTATATCCCCAGCGTCCCAACGGCACTTGGTGGTAAGCTTGGGCATAGTTATTTCAGTGAATCACCTTACTTTGTGGGGGCCACGTGAGCAAATGCGAAGAAGCTTGAATGGTCCCCAAGCCTATATGAAACAATATATATATATATATATATATATATATATATATATATATATATATATATATATATATATATATATATATTATATATAATTTATTGTCATATTTTTGTTGAAGAAATTATTTATTAACAAGTTATTTAATCTTTAATTATTATGCAAGAATAAAAAATTATTTATAATATTTAATTCTCGCAATATTTGTCTATGTTTTCCAGAGACAGTACAGGAGCTGCTGACTCCTGTAAGCAGGCTTAGAGCTTCTTTCCCTTCCCATAGCTCATGGTAAGCCTTACCCACTAGTTCCCCCCTGGAACACAACCCGCCAATCGGTTAACAACCAGGTCCCCAATTCCTGCTGGTGAACAAGGGCGATCAGTTAAAGGCTGGTGTCCAGTCAATCCTCCCTGACTAAGGCCTCGAACCCAGATATATATATATATATATATATATATATATATATATATATATATATATATATATATATATATATGTCGTACCTAGTAGCCAGAACGCACTTCTCAGCCTATAATGCAAGGCCCGATTTGCCTAATAAGCCAAGTTTTCATGAATTAATTGTTTTTCGACTACCTAACCTACCTAACCTAACCTAACCTAACTTTTTTGGCTACCTAACCAAACCTCACCTATAAAGATAGGTTAGGTTAGGTTAGGTAGGGTTGGTTAGGTTCGGTCATATATCTACGTTAATTTTAACTGCAATTAAAAAAAATTGACCTCATACGTAATGAAAAGGGTAGCTTTATCATTTCATAAGAAAAAAATTAGAAAAAATATATTAATTCAGGAAAACTTGGCTTATTAGGCAAATCGGGCCTTGCATAGTAGGCCAAAAAGTGAGTTCTGGCTACTAGGTACGACATATATATATATATAATATATTATCATTTAATCCAGTTAAATTAACCTCTTATTCATGACATTATATAAATAGACATAATTCGATCTATTTGCATCTATTTGTCTGCAACAGCAGACTTAACAAGAAATCGTTTAATAGATAAAGCAACATATTTAAAACGATTAAAAAACACACATTGTGTAATCCCTCACTTTTTTTTCAGGGATATCCCTCACTTAATGGCCTTTAATGACATTGCAGCAAATGTAATTTGCACATTTGATGTAATGGCACGAAAGTGAATGTATTGTTTCCTAGTCATTAAGACCGCTGAGAGCGTTTGGCATTTTATTGTCAAATGAAGGTCTCTGGAAAAAATAAAAAATAAAAAAAAAAAGCAGCGATGACAAATTCTTTGTCAATGGCGTCCTTCTGGGGTTTGGGCGGGTAATGAAAGCCCAGTTAAGCGGACTGGCGAGAACGTTGCCTTTTGGGCAACAATTGCTTTTCCACCACCACTTTGCTCTTGTAAACATCAAGAGTGTTCACCTATTTTAGATATTCAATTATTTTTTTTCATGTATTTACCACCTATTTTCGATACTCAAAAAATTAGAATTTCCATATTAAATAAGACTATGTCGCCTATTTTTTTTATATAGTAAATGACAATGTATTAATATTGGGGTTTTAAATTTAGAATATGTTACCTACTTTATTAAACGACAATTATTGCATTTGTCACCAAGTTTGAATATTAAATGACAAGGAATGGATTTACCAACTCTCTTATACCGAGCACCACAACAGTATCCAAGCTTGTAAGTTTCCCCTGTAATGATAGATTTTAAGAAGTCGAAAACAATTAATTATTTCTAGGATTAGGCATCCATCAGTCTCAGGAGTCTATGGAGTTGCGCTCTGGTGTCGGCCTGGTCTGGAGTGGCCTCACCAGGGCGCAAAGCCAGGGCAGGTTGATTGATGGGGAGAAGCTGTTACCCATGCAGCAGGTCCCCCCCCCCTCTCCACGGCGCTGAAAGTCTCCAATGGAAAGGCATTTCTAGATTAATTAAATATTAACACCACCAGCTCGTGCCTCTCTGCTCTGGGACTAGTCTGAATGAATGCCTCTGGGTCCAGATTCACGAAGCAGTTACGCAAGTACTTACGAACGTGTATATCTTTCCTCCTTCTTTGACGGCTTTTATTACATTTAGTAAACAGTTTACAAGCATGAAAACTTCTCAATCAACTGTTGTTATTGTTATAAACAGCCTCTTGGTGCTTCGGAGCTCATTAACTGTTTAATAATTGTAAACAAAGTCGCCAAAGACTGAGAAAAGATGACAAGTTCGTAATTAATGGCGTAACTGCTTCGTGAATCTGGCCTCTGGACTTCAACCAGTTTCGTTTTGTGTCTGACAATATAGGGACTACACACTGGTGCCGTACGTCCCAGAACTGGACTTGCGAAGTCCTTAGGTTAATAAAGGCCGATTTTACGTTGGTCAACCTACCATAGGCCGCTGATTGGCTTGATGTTGGCTTCCGAGAACAGGTGTAATGCGTTATTAATAGTCTCGTTGTCAGTGTGACTTTTGAAGTATTTTATCTCACATGAGGTACTTTGTGGCCTGTTATCGTGTTCCCAGCACCAAGCTTCATAACTTTGCACAAACCTGAGTTAAACTCTGGTGGCCACCACTCAAGCTGTAAGCTCTATCTTACTCTATGTCAGATTATGTTTATACTTGTACACTTAATTAAGCCAGAATGGTAACTACTTGTACAAGAACCTATGAGAATAGCTGTGGATTTGATGCTGATATAGCGCGCGCGCGTGTGTGTGTGTGTGTGTGTGTGTGTGTGTGTGTGTGTGTGTGTGTGTGTGTGTGTGTGTGTGTGTGTACACTGAGGGGACTTACCTGTGCACATAGGGTGTGTGGAAAAGTCTGGAGGTTCTGGAGTGTCTTCACTGCTCCTGCTGGTCTCCGCGACCTGTGGCTCCTCTCCGTCGCTGCTGCTGGCATCAGAGGTGCCACCCAGGCTGATGGCACCCTCGGCGTCAGGTGCCACGGGCGCGGCACCGTCGCCAGCCTCGCCCTTGTCCTGCTCCCCACCTCTGGCCAACAGGGCAAGAGACTCAACATTGTCGAGACAGTTGGTGACCTTCCCCGCCTGGTTCGTGTCCGTCCGTGCCACCATGGCCGTGCCGCTGCTCGTGGCACTCTCCAGAGTCCGTGCCACCACGCTCCGCACGCCGCACGTGGCACTCTGGCTACTCTCCTCACGCGCCGCGCACTCAAACGCACCTTCACTACTCACTAAACTCCAGTTTGGGGAATGATCCGCTTGTCTGACCGTCTGTGTGACGCGGGGTTCACCGCCGCTTGCTAAGCCTATCTCCGAGGCTGTGTCCTGGGCGTGGTGGGTGGCGTGGGCGTGCGGGCGGCCGCCAGCGTGGGAGGGGAGGGCGCGGGTGAGTGGGAGGGTGGCGTGGCGTGGGTGGCGGGTTGTGCCCTGTGCGAGACTGTGGTGGTGGAGGCTGGTGGCTGGGCTGTGGGCAGCGGCGACTTGTGGGGGAGAGAAGGAGGGGGGAAGCTGTTTCTCTCCCCCCACCACCTCCTCCTCCTTCTTCCCCCCTTCTCCCCCTCCAACCTGGGGGTCGCTCAGGGCACGCGCCGCAGCGCCCTGACCCCCGCCAGCCGGGTCATCCTTACACACATCTTCGGCCGCAGGTTCATCTTCGTGCTCATCTTCACCTTCGTCAGATTCCCGGTGGTGGTCGTCACCTTCAGTAGCACCGTCGGAACCTTCACTAGTGCCTCCTCCTGCTCCTCCTCCTCCTCCTCCTCCTCCCGCGTCATCGTCGTCACCTTCGCTGTCGTCTTGAAGCCACCTGCGGGAGAGGAAGATGATTGAGTCATTTTCAGGCATCATTCTACCAAACAATATCATTATCACTACACATCCGTCATAATACCCACTAACATTGCATTACTGACCACCACTACCAGTAACGACCACCACTACCAGCAATAACCACCCCCCCCCACCACCAAGCTACCACCATCCCCCACCAACACACCACAACAATTACTAATGCCCACCTGGGAAAGTTAAAACATATATGAGCATTAACAAAGAGGAACGTTACCAGCCGCTGGTAACGTCTCTCCATGCTGCATTATGCTGAGAACAATTCCACTTGGACTGGTCGGCAGAACAAAGGCCTCGCATCCTGCAAGGTCAGAGTTCGATTCCCGATCGCCCTAGAGGTTTCATTCTGACAGTTACCGTTACGTTACGTTAACCAGGCTGTGATTCGTACGTCAGGCTGCGAGCAGCCGTGCCCAACAGCCTGGTTGACCAGTCCAGCAACGAGGAGGCCTGGTCGACGACCGGGCCGCGGGGACGCTAAGCCCCGGAAGCACCTCAAGGTATACTCAAGGTATACCTCAGTGTACCTTGAGCAGGGGAGGGGGATGGGTACAACCCCCATGCCCAAGTCAAATACTAACTTCATACATTTGAGTAAGTCAGTATCTGACTAAGACGTCATGAACCAGAGCCCGGATTCATTAGGCATTTACGAAACCTGTACATCTTTCCTCACAATCATGACGGCTCTGTTTACATTGATGATTTTTTTTTGTATGAGCTACGAGGTTGTATATAACAATAACAATCGTTGTGAGAGCTTAATTGTTTAATTAAAGAACAACAAAGCTGATTGTGTGGCGACTTCCTGTGGTGATCTCGCCTTAACGAGAGCCGGTCGGCCGAGCGGACAGCATGCTAGACTTGTGATCCTGTGGTCCCGGGTTCGATCCCAGGCGCCGGCGAGAAACAACGGGCAGAGTTTCTTTCACCCTATGCCCCTGTTACCTAGCAGTAAAATAGGTACCTGGGTGTTAGTCAGCTGTCACGGGCTGCTTCCTGGGGGTGGAGGCCTGGTCGAGGACCGGGCCGCGGGGACACTAAAAAGCCCCGAAATCATCTCAAGATAACCTCAAGATATAACGACCTCACACAGAAACAAAGCCAGAATCGGGAAAGCGCCAAGCCATTACGACTATATAGCCCTTTGGGAAGGGATCAGGATAAGGATTTGGGATGGGACGGGTCGGGGGGGAAAGGAATGGTGCCCAACCTCTTGGTGGACGGTCGGGGGGATTGAACGCCGACCTGCATGGAGCGAGACCGTCGCTCTTTACCGTCCAGCGCAAGTGATTGGAACCCAGGAGCTACAGTCACATCTCCTCGCAGGAAAGATTATATGTAAGGCGTTATGTGGTACTTTAGGACACGACACATGCCTGACAGCGCTTCGGATTCGTAGTCCTGAGGTTTCGGGTTCGATCCCCGGTGGAGGCGGAGACAAACGGGCAAACCAAACCCTTTCACCCTGATGCCCCTGTTACCTAGCAGCAAACAGGTACCTGGGAGTTAGACAGATGCTACAAGCTGCTTCCTGTGTGTGTGTGTGTGTGTGTGTGTGTGTGTGTGTGTGTGTGTGTGTGTGTGTGTGTGTGTGTGTGTGTAACAAGACGGAGGCCTGGTCAAGGACCGGGCCGCGGGGACGCTAAGCCCCCGAAATCATCTCAAGATAACCTCAAGATACGCAAGGAGACCCGTCGTAACTCCACCCTCCAACAGCCACCACCTCAATCACTTCAATTAAAGTGGTCACGAGTTCCTCCGGTCTGTAGCTTGCGCGTGACAACTGCACCGGTAAACTCGGAGCTGGAGTTTACCTCTTGAGCGTGACGTATTCTGATTGGCGACGGATGGGCCAAAAATGTGGGGCAAAACTGAAGCTGTCAATTAAGGCGATGTTTGACTGGTCTTCAATGGTGAGACTTGAGATCGTCTTGTGGCGGAGATGAAGGGTGATGGAAGGTGTCCGGGTGATGGGGTGTACGGGTGATGGGTGTCCGGGTGATGGGTGTACGGGTGATGGGTGTACGGGTGATGGGTGTACGGGTGATGGGTGTACGGGTGATGGGGTGTACGGGTGATGGGGTGTCCGGGTGATGGGTGTACGGGTGATGGGTGTACGGGTGATGGGTGTACGGGTGATGGGGTGTACGGGTGATGGGGTGTCCGGGTGATGGGTGTCCGGGTGATGAGTGTACGGGTGATGGGTGTATGGGTGATGGATGTACGGGTGATGGGTGTACGGGTGATGGGTGTACGGGTGATGGGGTGTCCGGGTGATGAGTGTACGGGTGATGGGTGTACGGGTGATGGGTGTACGGGTGATGGGTGTACGGGTGATGGGTGTACGGGTGATGGGTGTACGGGTGATGGGTGTACGGGTGATGGGGTGTCCGGGTGATGGGTGTCCGGGTGATGGGGTGTCCGGGTGATGGGGTGTCCGGGTGATGGGTGTACGGGTGATGGGGTGTCCGGGTGATGGGGTGTCCGGGTGATGGGGTGTCCGGGTGATGGGTGTCCGGGTGATGGGGTGTCCGGGTGATGGGGTGTCCGGGTGATGGGTGTCCGGGTGATGGGTGTCCGGGTGATGGGTGTACGGGTGATGGGGTGTCCGGGTGATGGGGTGTCCGGGTGATGGGTGTACGGGTGATGGGGTGTCCGGGTGATGGGGTGTCCGGGTGATGGGGTGTACGGGTGATGGGGTGTACGGGTGATGGGTGTCCGGGTGATGGGTGTACGGGTGATGGGTGTCCGGGTGATGGGTGTATGGGTGATGGGTGTACGGGTGATGGGTGTCCGGGTGATGAGTGTACGGGTGATGGGTGAATGGATGATGGGTGTACGGGTGATGGGTGTACGGGTGTACGGGTGATGGGGTGTCCGGGTGATGGGTGTCCGGGTGATGAGTGTACGGGTGATGGGTGTACGGGTGATGGGGTGTCCGGGTGATGGGGTGTCCGGGTGATGGGGTGTACGGGTGATGGGGTGTACGGGTGATGGGGTGTACGGGTGATGGGGTGTCCGGGTGATGAGTGTACGGGTGATGGGGTGTACGGGTGATGGGGTGTCCGGGTGATGAGTGTACGGGTGATGGGTGTACGGGTGATGGTACGTCAAAGGACTGGGAGTAAAGTTCTTCCAGCAGGAAAACGAAAAGCTTTAGGACACACAACAAAGTAAAGAGAGAGAGAGAGAGAGAGAGAGAGAGAGAGAGAGAGAGAGAGAGAGAGAGAGAGAGAGAGAGAGAGAGAGAGAGAGAGAGAGAGAGAGAGAGAGAGAGAGAGAGAGAGAGAGAGAGAGAGACAGAGAGAGATAAAGTGACACACACACAAAGTCAGACCGTCCTCGTCTCTAGCAGCGTTCTTGATGATCTGTACTAAGTGTACGTGGTCCTCCAGTCCTTACCACCTCCGCCTGCCCCAATCCCTTGTACCTCTGGCATCTTCCACCACCATCACTGCTACTACCACAATCCACCATATTCCCCTCCCTACCAACACCACCATATCCTCTATCTACCACCACTACCACCACCCACATTCCCCACACACACTACCACCACCACAACACACTACCACCACCACCACACACACCACCACCACCACACACTACCACCACACACTACCACCACCACCACCACAGCAAAACTGCCACGACAGCTCAGAGACAGAGAAGCCAATTTATAACCACTCAGCTGTAATTAACTGAATGATAATTAACACAGTCAATATGTAAGCTCATTTATCTCTAGAAAATTATATATATATATATATATATATATATATATATATATATATATATATATATATATATATATATATATATATTTATATATATATATATATATATATATATATATATATAATTTGGACACACACCAGAGACTATATCTTTATTATCAACATAAATATAAGACTTAGTCTAACCTCTCCTACCAATCTTAAGCCTAATACAACCTTAGGCCTAAAACGGTATACATATAGAATGTGTATGTGTGCTATACTCGGCTTAGGAATATTTAAGTTTGGTTTTTAGATTATATTTCCGGATTCTATCTAAAAAAAAAAGTATTAAAAGAGGCCTAGTGGAGCTCCATTACTACATAGTGGTACGCTCGACCCAATGGTTACAAAGGGTTCAGATAGTACAGGATATTACAAAGGATTCAGAATGTACAGGATATTACAAAGGGGTTCAGATAGTACAGGATATTACAAAGGATTCAGATAGTACAGGATATTACAAAGGATTCAGATAGTACAGGATATTACAAAGGATTCAGATAGTACAGGATATTACAAAGGATTCAGATAGTACAGGATATTACAAAGGGTTCAGAAAGTACAGAATATTACAAAGGGTTCAGCATAGTACAGGATATTACAAAGGGTTCAGAAAGTACAGAATATTACAAAGGGTTCAGGATAGTACAGGATATTACAAAGGGTTCAGAAAGTACAGAATATTACAAAGGGTTCAGGATAGTACAAGATATTACAAAGGGTTCAGGATAGTACAGGATATTACAAAGGGTTCAGGATAGTACAGGATATTACAAAGGGTTCAGGATAGTACAGGATATTACAAAGGGTTCAGGATAGTACAGGATATTACAAAGGGTTGCCTGCTCTGGGGGCAAGGCTGAGGGGGGGGGAGTTGGGTATAGGGAAATAGAAAAGTATTAATTGAGTTGTATGGTGCAGAATATACAGGTCAGCATTTCTGAAGAGCGTGTGTATTGATAGGGAAAAAGCGGAGGGGTGTGTGTGTATGGTGTATTCGCCAAGTTGTGCTTGCGGGGGTTGAGCTCTGGCTCTTTGGTCCCGCCTCTCAACTGCCAATCAACAGGTGTACAGGTTCCTGAGCCTACTGGGCTCTATCATATCTACATTTGAAACTGTGTATGGAGTCAGCCTCCACCACATCACTGCCTAATGCATTCCATCTGTCCACTACTCT